CCCCGCGCCCTTCGGGGAGTGACCCTGCGGCGGGCCTGCGGCGTTCGGGGCGTGACCCCGCGGCCCTTCGGGGAGTGACCCTGCGGCGTTCGGGGAGTGACCCCGCGGCGGGCCTGCGGCCTTTGGGGGAGTGACCCCGCGGCGGGAGCTGCCCTCCCTCGCTCTGCAGCTCTGCACTTGCACTAGCTGCATCCGCGAACTGAATAGATTCTACGTTGGCCTCGAGACAGTCTGAAAGCCACACGTTTTCCATGAACTTTCCGGAGAACCCGAGTATGCACGGAGTTCACGTTTTTTTTGCACCAAGATAAATTCATGTTTAATCCCATTTTTCCATGAACCGTTGGAAGTACCTGCCGGGGGTTAATCTCACCCAGGAAACCTGTCCTCTGTTAGCAGGTGTTTGCAACACTTCTTACTTTTCAGTTCTGTTACAAATGATAGATTTTGGATTGTCCAGCGTTTGTGTTAAGTTTTCACAGCTGGAATTGCTGTGGCAAAGCAGAGTTAAACTTACAAATGTTGCCAAATCCAAAATTTTAGATGATGTTTTAATAGTATCTTAATTTCCTATGGAAAAGGCAGCAATAGTTCACAATCACTGAGTTATGATTTAAATGTGCACTTAGAAAAATAACCCGAGGGAGTCAAATTAAAAAATGCTTTTGGACTACAACAGATCAAATAACGTGAAATAGAGCAATGCTCAAAACTGACTGGAATGTTCTGCTTAGCTACAATCAGACTTCTGGGGGCCAGCACTGTGGCACAGCCGTGAAGTGATGCTGGCATTCCCGTATCAGAGCATCGATTCCAGGCCTGGCTGTTCTGCTCCCAGTCCAGCTCCCTGCTCATGCACCTGACTGAGAGGTGGCCCGAGCACTGGGGACCAGGATGGAGTTCCTGGCTCCTGGCCTCAGCACGGCCAGCCCTGACTGTTCTGGTCATTTGGAAAGTGAAGTAGCAGATGGACACTCTCTCTCTCTCTCTCTCTTGTTCTTGCTCTGCCTTTCAAATAAATAAATCTTACAGAAATACAGACTTCACAGCTTTATAACTAACTGCCTTAGTGAACTTAATTTTGAGATCTTAATTTTTTTCACTTCAGAGCTTACAAATTATACATGCAAATTAGCATGCATAGGACTTGGAGAGATTTTATGTTGTTTTCAAGGCTTTTAAGGTGTTTCCACATTTAAGTGTTAATGTACAGTACAAAATGTACATGATTGCGGAGAGTTTAACCTCACGAAAAATCTGAATTATAATTATTTTCACATACAGGTTTTGTTTTTTTTTTTTTTTTTTTTGACAGGTAGAGTTAGAGAGAAAGGTCTTCTTTCCATTGGTTCACCCCGCAAATGGCCACTACGGCCGGCACGCCAATCCCAAGCCAGGAGCTGCTGGGTACTTCTTCCTGGTCTCCCATGGGGTGCAGGGTCCAAGCACCTGGGCCATCCTCCACTGCACTCCCTGGCCACAGCAGAGAGCTGGCCTGGAAGAGGGGCAACCGGGACAGAATCCGGGACTACCACCCGGTGTGCCGGCGCCGCATGTGGAGGATTAGCCTAGTGAGCCGCGGCGCCGGCCCACGTACAGTTTTCCTCCATTAGATTTAGCATCTCCATGATGGGAGTTGTGAATGCACTAGGATTTTACTAATATTTTTAAAATTAAAAGTAGCAATTTCTCATCCTACCACGTTTTAGTTACCTACTTTGTTTCTAGGGATTATGGTGTTTGAGGGGAAAAGTTTTTTAAGACTTATTCAAAAGGCTGAGTCAAAGAGAGGGAAATCTTCCATACACCTATCCAGTCTCCAAATGGCTGCAATGGCCAGAACTGGGCTTATTTGAAGCCAGGAGCCAGGAGTTTATAATGGGTCTCCCACACGGGTTCAGGGGCCTAAGCACTTGGGCCATCTTCTGCTGCTCTCCCAGGTGCATTAGCAGGGACTCCACCCACAGGGCCCTTTACTAGCTACACCACAGTGCTGGCCCCATGAGTGGAAAATCTTACCAACCGTAATCAAAATTTAGCTTTCAATTAAATTTCACAACTGCTTACTGGAAACATCCTCTATCCCGTATCTCCTGGCAGACAGGCAGTGTAGGTTTGGATGTGCATTGACTACACCCCAGGTGTGGGCCTTTAGTGACTTACTTAAACCTTTCAGCTTCTTTCCCTTCAGCTAAGCAATTAGGAATGTTATCTGCCAGGCAGCCTACTTTTCACAATTAAACACATACAGCACTTAGCCCTTTGGCCAACCACGTGTAAACGAGGACATGATAAACGTTAAGTTTCCTTCCCCCATATGCAATACTTGGGTGAGGACCACAGTGCAGAAGGGAAGGCAGGCCCACTAATCCCATGCCCAGGTGTCAACAGGACCGGTAAGAGAGGCAGAACAATAACCCTGTCCCCAGTGACCACTGACCCCCTAGAGCTGTCTCGTCTGCTACGCTGGCCCGGCACGTGAGATTGTATTTAAGTTTCTCAAACACACACACAAACCCGCTCCTGAAGCTGAGGTGTAACCATACAACATACGTATTTTAGCCAGGCCCTACATCCACCAGTGGTTTTTGAAGGGTAGGACTTGGGTTTGGAATGATTTAAACAATTAAGACGTTTCTAAAGCTTTGTCTTCCGTGACTAGACCACAAGAAAAACACACACATAGCCACTGGTGCACACATACTTTAATACTTAGGCTCAGGTAAAACCATTTTAAATACAGGCGTTACAATGTGTATAGGGAGACAATCCCGCAATTGCACAATCCACCACAAGATCTGAACGACTGAGCAACCTACAACCGAAAGTGACGGTCTGAAGTTCTTACAGTCCTGCTGCCTCTTCCTCAACCAGGCACGGGTAGTTAAGCTGTCAGATTTCAAAATGTTGGTAGTTTTTGAAAGGCACCTTGAGGTTCTCTTACATGAGGATATGACGTCTACCTTGTAGTCTGTGCCCAGAACCTTTCAACAAGTGACTTTCCCACAGATAACATTCTTTGCATATCTAAACAGCAACACCTTTGGCAGCTGTAACCCGTATCTGACTACGCTGGACAATTGTCTTGCACTCTGGGCTGGAGCCAGGCACGTAACAGCCAGGGCCCTCACAGGCATGCTGACCTAATTGGACAGGGCTAAACACCAGGAAATGCAACCAGCCGCCTCTCTCTCTTGCATGTCAATGTGGTGCACAGCCCTAATAGCCAAAGGCTGTGCTATTTAATCATACTTTAAACCAAAACAGGGTGTTTTTAGATCAGAAGCTACCAAAGTCATTCCTGTTACTGAATTTTATTTTTGATTGCAATCATCAAAAATAAAATGGTTCAAAGACAAAATGCATCTCTCAAATAGTCACTGGACAAATGCCAATAAGCGGTCACAAATTTAGCTAACTCACTGGTGGCAGGTATCTTAAAGTGGATCCCACGGTTTCAGATATTTCAAATCAATTCCATACACTGGAGACACGGTCCAACACGGCTGTGTTTCCCCCCATGCCCCAGCTCCAGCCCTGCTGTCCCAGAGACCACTCAGCACCAGAACTCCCCAGCCTCGCAATGGGAGCTTCCGTGGCACTCTGCAGGGGACAGGAGGCTTGACTGGCTGGTTGGAAGTTGTTTTTTTTTTTTAAAGTATTTGATATTTTAAAATTTGAAACAAGCCCAGAAAAGGTTAGGCAGGAAGTCTCCTACCTGAAGGCACAAAGAATAAAGTTGGCAGGTAGCTGATAAGACCCGGCATATAAATACAATTTAAAACCACTGAGGAATATAAAATTTGTGAATTATTTTTCCTCCAGTGCTCTGGCCATCGCTGAAAACAACCCTCTAGTCCCACTTGCTAACTGGACTTCCCAAAGATTAATGCCAGAACCTCCTGATGCTGAAGAAGAAATAAAAAGAACCAAGAAGGCAATTTCAAAGGGCACTGTTGCCTGAAAACAGTAGGTGACTACCTGAAAATCTAAATAACTTAAGGCAGTATTTCTTAGAATGTCTAGGTAGTTTCGAACCTAAACGGAATGGCCTGATGACGTGCAGATACACGATTCCTAAACACACAGGACAGAAACACATGACCTAAGAGTGGCCGCAGAAAGGGCTGTTGGGTGGTTCCAAAGTCCGCAGCCCCTTCCCCGGCCCAGCCGGCTGCCTCAGGCCCGGAGTGGTTACGTGACGCTGATGAGACACACATTCTTCGTGCCTATTAATAGATTCCCGCTTAGAAGGCTGCAGACACTGGCAAGCCGACAGGGTCTCGGGTTTTCCTTGTCCCTGGGCAGGGATGCCTGGAGCGACCAGGATGCAGGTCAGGGCGCACGGTTTGTTCACACTGGGCACGGACACATAACAGGACATCTGCATATTCCTGAGAAGGCATCCACTACGGAGAAAGGTCCCGACATCACGAAAATAAATAGCAGCCATGTTTACGGACACACATGCAGCAGGCCCTCCCGGCAGAACCCCGGCCCTTCAAAGGAAACCCTGCCTCTGGGCCCCAGGCTCCGGCACCCCAGCACCCCAGCTCGGACGCAGCCCAGCGCGGCCCTCCCGCCGCCTGGGGCTGCACCAGAGACCGGTGGAAGAGGGGCCTGGCAGCCCAGCGCGGCCCTCCCGCGGCCGGGGGCTGCACCAGAGACCAGGTGGAAGAGGGGCCTGGCAGCCCAGCGCGGCCCTCCCGCCGCCGGGGGCTCCACGCGAGAGCAGGTGGAAGAGGGGCCTGGCAGCCCAGCGCGGCCCTCCCGCCGCCGGGGGCTCCACGCGAGAGCAGGTGGAAGGGGGGCCTGGCCGCTCTGGGGGCCGAGGCGCGCCGGCTCAGATGAAGTGGATCCAGCTCTCCTCGCACTCCCCGCGCGGCATGTGCAGTGCGTGGTTGCGACACGTGAGGCTGTAGTCCTGGCCAGGGCTCCCGGGGGCCGAACACTCGGCGCCGGCCACGCGGTAGCGCCGTCCAGGTCCGAGAGGCAGCTGAGGCTTCGGGGGGCGGCCTTCCGGGACCCCGGCGCGGCGGGCAGGACCGCGGAGTGCAGGCCTCGGGACATGTCCTGGCGTGCAGGCGGCAGAGGGAAGAGAACCGAGGGGCGGCCTCGAGGGGCGGCGTCCACTCCCTGCGGGCCCCGCCGTGCCCAGAAGCGCTCCGGGTCCGCTGGATCAGCGACCTGGGGGGGACCCCGGGGTCTGCTCCGCCCTCCCTTCCTCCGCCACCTTGTTCCTGGAGCCGTCGCCCAGATCCTCCGCTTCTCGCAGGGACAAGAGCGGTGCCGCCAGCGGAGGCTCTCCGGGGTCCCGGGGGAGCGAGGGGGCGCGCCGCTGGGCTTCCCTGGGCCCCGCCCGGCCGCCGCCTCCCTCGCTCCGCAGCGACTTCCCGGCGCGCCTCCGCCCCGCCCCTCGTGACGCGGCCCGCGGGCCCCGCGCCGCCCGCGCCCGGGCCGGGCCGTGCCGCAGCGCGCCGCAGTCTGGCCTCCGCGCGGGCGCCGGAGGAAGGAAGCGCGCGGCCGCGTCACGTGTCCGCCGCGGTCGCGGCCCGGGGCCGATCGGTGTCCGTGTGCGTCGGCGGGGCAGTGCGCGCCCGGACCGCAGGTGGTGCGTGCGCCACGCGAGCTCCGGGCCCGGGGCTGACGGTGGGGGGAGGGCAGGCGCCTCGGCCGGCAGCTGGTTCCCGGGGTGGTTTGGGCGTCTGCGGACAGGTCCCTGGCGCCTGAACCGAGCAGCCACGCCCGCGGGAGGGCAGAGGCGTCCTGTCCGCTGCCAGGGGCTGGGAGGGGGCCGCCGCTCTGCGTGCCGGCAGCGGTGCGCAGAGGGAGGCGTGGGAACGGGGTCGATCGCCGGCGAGCAGCTCCGCGCCTGGGCCGGAATCTGGGGCTCTGAGCTCTGGGTGCGAGCCGGGAGCTCCAGGGGTGCGGGGAGTTCGCGTTCTGTATCCTGGGCCCCTGCGGGCGTCCGTGGCTCTCACCCAGGAAGCGTGCGTGCGCGCGGCGCAGACCCTGCGGCCTGGGCCAGGAAGTGAAAGCGAGCAGTGAGGGGCAGCAGGCCGAGCAGGACGCCCCTTTCACTGTCCAGGGAGAAAGCCAGACCCCTGGCGGGGGGCCGGGGAGATCCTTCCTGCCCCTGGAGCCTCAGGCTGCCCGCCCTGTGACTCATTTGGGAGGAATGATTTTACCACCCCCGCTGCAAGCTGACCCGAAAGCCTGACATGGCTAACGGTGGAGAAAACACAGGAGAGTTTCAGGAAGAATATTAAGATCTGCAGCCCCGCCTCTTTCCTGTTTTAGGCAGGCGGGGGTGCTACGGTGGACAGAAGTGTTCCGTTTTTAATAGGCCACTTGGAGTGAGAGAGGGCTGGCCTAGCCTGAGCCAGGGACGCCAAGTTTCAGGGCTGACGTCATAGACTATGCATGACTGTGTTGGTGGCCTATGGTAGATGAAGGGGTGAGGAGGGCTGGTAGAAAGGGGCCTCCCCCACCACGCCCCGCGCGGGGCCCTGATGTGCAAGCCTGGTGATTGTTTCTTGAGTGGCTGTGGGGCTGTGGAGCTGGGTTTCTCGCACACTATCTCCAAGGAGCGTGTATGTGGGTGCCTGGTCAGAGAGGAGGGGAGGCAGAGTATTCACAGCTCATAGGTGCAGTCTTGTCTCCAATAGCCCGGTGATACACAAGCAGAAGGGTAATATAAACTGTAATATGAAACAGCGTCCTCGCCCAGGAGCCCGCGATTTGGGGTGCTCACAGCCCCCGTGTTCCAGTGCGAGGCAAATGTCAAGAACCACCGTGAGTGGCTGGGCCACCTGCAGGCAGCACCTCACAGTGTCCCGTTGCTTCCAGCTGCGGTGCTGGGAACTCCTTTGCAAGCATAAGAGGAATAAAGACGTTCCCTCCGCAGCCGCCACCATCGCCGTCCTCCAGCAGGTTGAGCGAGGACACCAGCAGCACGGGAGAGAAGGTGATGTGAGCTCGGGACCGTCGGTTTGTTCAGTTTTGTGGGGGAGCTTGCTTCTTGTGTTCACAGCGCCTGTCTCCGCGGCTCTGTTTTTCAGACAGTCCATCTGACCCCCGGTGATGGCCAGCCACGTGGTGTTCACAAGAAACGGAATAGGGTGAAGGAAGCGCAGCAGGAAAGCAGGTACGTGGCTCTCATGGAACTGCTTCAGCTTGGAAAAGACAGGTTGTCTCACATCTCCAGGTTAAACGTGCAGAACTGAGTGGGCAAAAGGATTTTCAACATTGTTAGCTGTGAATTCCAAAGGTCACAGTTCTGGCCCAGTGTGGGGGAGAGTCTTATCCACCTTCTTGCGCTTCCTTTCTCAGGATGCTGATAAATAGGCCGGGACCACTAGGGCAAGCAGACCTCCGAGCTCTCCAGAGAGCACGCCGCGGTCCCTTTTCTGCTTCTGGGCTGCGGGAGTGTGTCAGCCGTAGTCACATGCGACACACTTGGTAAACAGGTTGGCAAGGAGATACATTTTCATGCTGATGTGAGGTGCTGCCTCCGAGCAGGTTACCCAGAGTGCATCAGGTGCCGTGCTACTGTTGCACAGAATGGTCGTTATTTATTTTGACCTGCCATTCACGAGAGGGCTTCAGCCCTATTTTTTCAGTCATTTTGTATTGTATGGCACCGTAAGATTTTATGTCTGCAGCCGGCGCCGCGGCTCACTAGGCTAATCCTCCGCCTTGCGGTGCCGGCACACCGGGTTCTAGTCCCGATCGGGGCGCCAGATTCTGTCCCAGTTGCCCCTCTTCCAGGCCAGCTCTCTGCTGTGGCCTGGGAGTGCAGTGGAGGATGGCCCAAGTGCTTGGGCCCTGCACCCCATGGGAGACCAGGAGAAGCACCTGGCTCCTGCCTTCAGATAGGCACGGTGCACTGGCCGCAGCACGCCGGCCGCGGTGGCCATTAGAGGGTGAACCAACGGCAAAGGAAGACCTTTCTCTCTGTCTCTCTCTCTCACTGTCCACTCTGCCTGTCAAAAAAAAAAAAATGAAAAAAAAAAAAGATTTTATGTCTGCATCCTTTCGCAGGTGTGGGGACCCCTTTCTCTGCCAAGGTTCCATTTGAATATTTATAACATCATTTGCGAACCATCTAAAATTACCAACCTAAAAATTAGCCTGCTATAGATTTATTGAATATCAAGTTTCGCCTGCAGTTGTCTTGGCTGGGCCAGACCAAATACTTTCTCCAGCCTTTCATGGCCTGTGGGCTGGCCATTCCCCACCCCCACTTTAAATCTTGATTTTCTCGAGTGTGTTTCTTGTTTGAAAAAAAAAATTGATCAGCTTTTTGCTTAAGCTTCAGGTTGTATTTGCTCACTTTGACATACTCAGATTTTAGTTGGCTCTCAGTCACTGCTATTCGGAATTTTTAAAAACAGATTATTTATTTATTTGCAACTGTTACACACACACAGAGAGGGAGAGACAGATCTTCCATGTGCTGGTTCACCCCCAAATGGCTGCAACATCCAGGGGTTGGCCAGACTGAACCCAGGAGCCAGGATTTTTTTCCAGGTCCCCCACGTGGGTGCAGGGCCCAAGTGCTTGGGGCAGTCTCTGCTGCTTTCCCAGGCCACAGCAGGGAGTCAGATGTGGAGCAGCCGGGACTCAAACCTGTGCCCACATGGGATGCCAGCACCGCAGCAGAGGGTTAACCTGCTGTGCCACAGCACCGTCCCACAACTCAGGACTGAACGCCATCGAACTTACATTTTACATTGTATTTACATTGAATTTAGACTAGACATATGAAAGGGAACTGTATTTTACTGCTGAATGTTACTAAATGCTATCGATTATTATGAAAGTTGTATGTTAGATTTTCAACAAACTAATGTTTTGTAAAGTATATGCAATTAGTCTAAAATGGTAAAACAAGCACTTTGAGAAATGCTAATGTTTTCCTTAAAGGCTAATGTTTTATGTAAAGTAGAATCCATGCATTCACTTTGGCACATAGAGTATATGATGTTTTTAAATAGAGTACTATTATGTAAATGTTATGTAAAACGACTTCTTCTCTAAGGGGGATGGGGCCCTAACTTCTCTGATGCCTAGTAGTAGCGGAAAAATCCAGCTCTGTGTTGTAGTCTTCGCCAGAAGCTGTCTTTGCAATCTGGAGTAAGAGTTGCAGTTGTGTTTTCCACAGCAGTGTGCACGCTGGCCCATCGTGGAATAAAGTGCAACGTTCAAAGAATTCTTCAGGGAGAAGGCAGAGGAGATCCCAAGTACCCTGTGCTTCCTCCCAGCTGAACGGCAGCCTAGTGGGTGTCTCCCAGCCAACTGAAGATGAAGTTAGAGCAGGCATTGCCGCAGGAGGAAAACCCAAAAGGGACCCGAGTTCCAGGGGTCAGGGGGCCTCAGCGAGCCAGCTGTTTCTGGACTTTGAGTCCATGAAGATTATTAAAGAGAGTGCCGATGAGGACAGCGCGAGCGATCTCTCTGACTCAGAAAGGGTTCCCATTCCTCCTTCTCCCCTGACGCCTCCAGACCTCCATCTCCGCGCTGAAGAGATCGACCCCCTTGACTTCGATCTGCATCTAACTCAGGGCCACGCCAAGCCTGAACACTATTACCCCGATTTCCTTCCACCCCCGTATAGCTCCTGGGACCTGCGGGCTATGGCCTTGCTTCTGCACACGGAGTGCGACACTGGGGCCGTGCCGCGTGCAGGGGGACTCCTTGGGAAGTACGTGGACAGGCTCCTTCAGCTCGAGTGGCTGCAGCTCCAGACCATCCAGTGTGAAAAAGGCAAGGCGGCCAAAGCAAGGCCTCCCCCTGGCCCCGGGCCGGCAGGAGCTCTCAAAAGCCCCGGGAGAAGTAAGCTCAGTGCTGGTGCCCTGTCCAAGCCACTAGCTCGGCAGGAAGGCTGTTCAAAGTCAGGCCCTTCGCGAAAGAAAGGTTTTCCCCATGAAGAAGCCCACCCGTCGTATCGTGCATTTGAGACTTCCCCGAAGCCGAGCGACGTGGCGGGCGGCACCAGGTTATGTTCTCAGAAGCAGAAGTTAGAAATGAGAATGGAGGAGAAGAAAAGGAAATCGGCCAAGAGCATCCAGCTGCAGCGCTGGGATCCGTCCTGTGGCGGCTGCAGCCCGAAGGTGGAAACCAGTGGGAACCTGCGGATCCCCCGACAGCCAGCCCCGACTCTGGACTCGGCGGACCCCTGGAAGGCCCCCAAAACACAAGCGCTTGCGAATCTCAAGAAAAAGGCAAATGCAAACAGTTGTGGCCGTGCCACTATGTCCAGTGAGAAGAAACTCAAAACAAATGGAGTAAAGCAGCACACACACAGGCTAAAATGATTCTGAAATGAGGAACTGCAAAGCCCGTCCGATGTATAAATATTAGAGCCCTTCAGAAAGTCAGCTATGCTGTGAGTTTTTAGTTTGAAGACATTGGCTATTCTGTCTAGCCCACCTATACCTCCAGTTTCCAAAGAAAGATGTCTTTCTAAAGGGCTTTCTCTGTATTGATAAGTCTTAGGCAAAAATTAGGCTAGGCATACGCCTTGAAAGGGGTAAGCCAGCAATTCCTGGGGGAAGCGTCGAGAGCCCCACGGTCAGCTCTGTGGAAGAGAGAGCCGTGGCTAGCTGCCTTCCACCTGCACGCAAGCCTACAGAACTGAACACACAAGGCTCACAGTAAGGCCCTGCTCACCGCTGCCTCCTTGCAACTGTGTCAAGTGTTCAAGAGAAGCTCCGTTCCTTTCGCCCCAGGAGAAACCTCAGTGATATTGTCAGCCCGTGTAGCACGGCACTGCTTGCTCCTTGGAGACCTGGAGTCTCCTACTTCACACGTTTCCTCTGCCTGGGATTCAGAAGTGGCGTTTTACGTGTAGAGGTGGTGGTGGTTAAGCTGAGGTTGAATACGTGGTAGATTTGCTGGTTGGAAAGTCTGCAGGCTTAGGCTTGAACCTCATAGGCCTCTCCCAGAGTTCCCCAGGAAACTGCAGATCAATGGAGGACTCGTAGTAGGATAAGAACACACAGGGAACCGTGCTGAGTGTAACAGATCCGAAGCTGCTTGTTCGGGACCCAAATCCTTTTGTCCTTAGAAGGGACGTGCTGTTTCAGTTTGCAAGTGCAGGATATTACTGTCTTGCTTGAGGGGTAGGGGCAGAGGACACAGTTCAGGAAGTCGGGGGAGTGGAGTGCGAGCGAGCGCGGAGTGTGGAGTGCGTCCTGAGCACCCTCAGCTGCACCCACGGCCGCCTGGCTTGTGAAAGCCTTGGTTACCTGCGGTGGCATGGCCGCTCCTAGTGGCTGTGGCCTCGCTCTAATATACATTTGTACAATTTATTAATCTGTTTGAAAGGCAGTTAGAGGGAGAGACAGAGAGTGAGATCTTGCGCCCACTGGTTCACTCCCAAAATGGTTGCAACAGCCAGGGCTGGGCCAGGCCAAAGCCAGGAGCCTGGAGCTCCACCCAGGTCTCCCAGGTGGGTGGCAGGGCACAAGCCCGTGGGCCATTGTCTGCTGCTTTCCCAGGGGCGTTACCAAGGAGCTTACTGGGACCTGGAGTCCACTTGGGATACTGGTGTCGCAGACGGTGGCTTAACTTGCTGTGTTTATTGATGGAGGCTGGTTTGATTTTACTATATTTTACTATATTTGTTTTTGACATCCTGGTTCCTATTTTTTTTTCCTTTGTGACAATGAAAAGCTCGGTTCATTTGGAAGTATGTGATAGCTTGTAGCTTCACACTGCAGTAAATGCCATCAGAAACAGCACAATGAGAAGATGTGTTCATAGTTAATATGCAAAGGATAAATGTTAATATCTCCTTTAAAATCTGATTTTATTCATACTAAAACAAAATGTAGAAAATATTTGTGGTAACTTATTTCAGGATTTTCAGATTTGCAGATCCCCTCTGCGTTCTCGGTCTCGCACGCCGCCCTACTGGAGAAAGCATGCCATTACACTAAGATCTCACTCGCACCCTGTATCTGCTGTGTACATAGCGGGCGTTCTCCCATGATCCTTTTATCTGCTGTGTACACAGTGGGCGTTACTCCCATGATCCTTGTCTCTGCTGTGTACATAGCGGGCGTTGCTCCCATGATCCTTTTCTCTGCTGTGTACATAGTAGGCGTTACTCCCGTGGCCCTTGTCTCTGCTGTGTACATAGCGGGTGTTACTCCCGTGGCCCTTGTCTCTGCTGTGTACACAGTGGGCATTACTCCCGTGGCCCTTGTCTCTGCTGTGTACATAGTGGGTATTACTCCCATGATCCTTTTCTGTGCTGTGTACATAGCGGGCGTTGCTCCCATGATCCTTTTCTCTGCTGTGTACATAGCGGGTGTTACTCCCATGATCCTTGTCTCTGCTGTGTGCACAGTGGTTGTTACTCCCATGGCCCTTGTCTCTGCTGTGTACATAGTGGGTATTACTCCCATGATCCTTTTCTGTGCTGTGTACATAGCGGGCGTTGCTCCCATGATCCTTTTCTCTGCTGTGTACATAGCGGGCGTTGCTCCCATGATCCTTTTCTCTGCTGTGTGCACAGTGAGCATTACTCCCATGATCCTGTTTCGGCTGTGTGCACAGCAGGCATTACTCCCATGATCCTTTTCTCTGCTGTGTACATAGCGGGCGTTGCTCCCATGATCCTTTTCTCTGCTGTGTACATAGCAGGCGTTACTCCCGTGGCCCTTGTCTCTGCTGTGTACATAGCGGGCGTTACTCCCATGATCCTTTTCTGTGCTGTGTACATAGCGGGTGTTGCTCCCATGATCCTTGTCTCTGCTGTGTGCACAGTGGTTGTTACTCCCATGGCCCTTGTCTCTGCTGTGTACATAGCGGGTATTACTCCCATGATCCTTTTCTCTGCTGTGTGCACAGTGGGCATTACTCCCATGATCCTGTTTTGGCTGTGTGCACAGCGGGCATTACTCCCATGATCCTTTTCTCTGCTGTGTGCACAGCGGGTATTACTCCCATGATCCTTTTCTCTGCTGTGTGCACAATGGGCATTACTCCCATGATCCTTGTTTCGGCTGTGTGCACAGCGGGCATTACTCCCACGGCCCCTGAACGTACTCTAAGTTTTGGTCTTGCCGTAGGCAGTGCATTTGGAACATGGCGTCGTCCGCAGTTTCCTCTCTGTGGTAGCTGAGTGCTGCCCTCTTCCTTGTGAGCACAGAGGAGTCCGTTATCTGGGGCTGGGCACCTCACTCGGGATTGTTTCTCAGATTTGTATGTAACTCTTTATGAAGTTCCATTGCCAATAGATGTCTATAATCATGATACTACACGTGCATGTGTATATACATGTGTGTACACACACACGCACACACACACACACGTATTACTAGTAAAGGGCCTGTGCTGTTGCTGCCTTTCTCTGAAATGTACCTGTGTGAGTACTCTTAGAGACCCGGATGGGCCGGGCCAGGTGGTCCGCTTGTCCTTGCCTTGTGCCTGTGGGCGCTGAAGACCCTCATGATGGAGCAATGCAGAGGTGGGGCTTCGTCTGTCGGCTCCCAGCCCCGCCCACTGGGGCGGAGTCATACCTCCTGCACCAGGCCGCAGCGAAGGCCTGAAGAAGCGACTGCTGGTTTACATTTTTGCCTCTGGGTTGTTCTTTATTTTATCCAGTGTTGTGAGTGGATCAGAGCTCCTAATGAATATTCATAGTTTTTTTTTTTTTAAGTTAGGCTTATTGCAGACTTAAGCACAGCTTTCTCGTCTCTGATCCACACCTGACACGTGTGATGCGCTAAGTTCTGCAGATACGAATCTTGGTATCTTCAAGTAGGCGACGTCAGACAGTCGAATCGTGAACTTTCAGGGGTTCAAGTTGAACCCTCCCCGAGTGTCCTGCCAGTCTGATGATACAAGTCGGTGTGTTTCCAAGAAGTGCCGCTCCTTTCTGAGGAGTGTTTACATGTGCCTTGCATTTAAAGCAATTCAAGCAGTCCAAGTGACACTCAAAAAGGCTGTAAGAAAAGATATGTCAGGCTTGGAATTAGTGGAGAACGCAGCTTACAAAATGAGCTACAAACGTATCGTCGGCATTCGCTGTGACTGTTTCCCAGGTCTTTAGTGACGTATGGCCGTCGCTTCATGACTAACTTGGATGCAGTAGAAGTGGAGACCTTGGAAAAAAAGATGGGGAGATATTGCAGGTGTGAGGGTAGCCAGCAGCCAGAAGGAAGCTGGTGCGTGGTGGTCCTGGGCCGGTGGGTTACTTTCTGGAGAGAAGGTGTCTGCCTTACCACGGAGCTGGTGTCTGCTTGCTCTTTCCTGTGTGCTCACTGACTTGAGGAGTTACATGGAAACCTGAAACTCGTGGTGGTACTGTATTTCAAGGTAATAGAGAAGCAGTATTTACTATTTATGGACTTGTACAGGAAACCCAACGGCCTGAAAAACACTCAGCATGTTTCCTCGTGACATTTTGATGACCGTGTGTTTGGTTTTATGTGTAATAAAACAATCCGTGTGAGTTTCTGAGAGCATGAATTATTCCTTCCCTGACATCAAACAGCAGGAAAATACTGTCTAGGTTTCTCGGGTGTGGTCTTTGTTTAGATTTTTATGTATTTCTTTTAGAAGTTTCTTTGTTTTCTGCATTGTTTCAAAGGACTGCTCAGAATGGAATTCTGCCCCCGCTCCTGTGTGAGATGTACGTGACCAGCACCTCGGGTTAACATCTCTGGATACTCCTGGGAAGCTGTGCTGCGGATTTTTCCAGTGCCTGTTCCCCTTACCACCCCCAAAGGATGTTGACGAATAGTTAGGCAGGCAGCAAACAAACTCAGGAAGATTAAAATTAACAGGCGATAAGATGAACGCATGCCTTAGCGTGCACACTGGGAAATGAGTGCCACCTCTTTCAAGCAGCCGCCTGGCTCGCAGGTGGCATTTGGAGCTGGCCCCCCTGCAAGCGTCCTCGGGGCCGCCACTCCTCTTGCTGCTCTGACTTCTGATGATCAGGTGTGTTCTTCAAGTCTTCCGGGTGGTGGAAGCAGTGGTTGGTGGTCAAAAGTCAGTTTTTGGTGTGGTTCGAAAATTACCCATGGTTTTAAATCATTCATTTGTACAGAAAATGTCATTATTTTGGATGCTGCTGTCTTGTTGTCCACAAGATGGCGACCAAGCCATTCCAGACAGCAGTGAGTTTGCACTGTTGGTGCCTTCTAATCAAAGAGAAAGGTTTTTTCTGGAATCAAAAGGAAATGGGAGAGGATGGGACTATTCGGCTTCAGACACAAAGCGTGTTCTTTGCTTAACTTCACTCTGCCATCAGATAATTAAATGGTTTATTATACGTAGCCTGGTGCTGTGTAGGATTCTCTCCCTGAACACCCCCGTATCAAACGCTGCATCTAACATCGTAATGCTCGCGAGGTAACGTGAATCATGAGTTTGCCAGACTCCCAGAGGTTGTTTCATAAATACAATTTGAGGGATGGGCACTTGG